GAGAGAGAGAGAAAAGTAAGTGTGTGTGTGTGTGTGCATGTGTGTGTGATAGAGAGAGAGAGAGGGGGAGGGGGGGGGTAACGTGCCAGGGTGTCTAGATGCAGTGCTATTTTCCATTTGGAGTATGGCGAAAACATTCGTGTTGGTTGTGACAGTTACTTGGCTCTTCAGTTTTTCCACTTTCAGAAGGTCGAGCTCTTCCGCGAGCTCACCGCAGAGTAATCAATTTCCATGTCTGGCCTTCACTTTTTAGTCATTTAGCTGCCGTGTTGGGAGAAAGCAGATAGGATCATCTTTATTGTTGACGTGTTGATGTGATGACTCGTCAGCAGATACGCTCGTACGCCAAAGATAACTCGTTAGAAATATGCAACCTCTGAGCTGCCACCAAAGAGCTACCGTCTTCACCCGAATAGAATGCCCGGTCATTCTAGCTGTATTTAGCAGAACTGTCGGACCAGATGCACGGCGATAATGACCGGGCGTTCTATTCGGGTGAAGAGGGTAGCTCACTTAAGCCCAAGTCCCCTTGTGAAATCAGACCAATTAGTGTCAGATCCTACTACCCTGGATTATTAATTTTTCACCCCTCGATTACGAAGATCAACGGTCAGAAATGAACAATAGGGGCTAGTGGGATATGGCCCTTAGCCTTACGGTTAGGTGTTAGCCTGCCAAGCCGTTGGTTGTGTGTTCGAGTCTTGTTTGTATTCGATATTCACTGGTGCATGTTGCCCTCTCATCTATCTCATTTGCAAACTCGATCATGTAAACTTTTTTTTTTTTTTTTTTGAACTGGTGCTATCATGGCCCCTCGCCAGACGAAACGAAATACGAAATGAGTGCGTCTTCCTGCAGAAGATGAAATGATTCATCCGTTGACCAGAAATAGTAATGAACGTATTTTGTCACCTTCTGCACTCTTTTTTTTTTTTTTTTTTTAGGCGAGGCTGTATGTTGGTTTGATCTCCGTAGTACGTGCTGATTTTTGTTTTTTTTTGGATCTCAAATGTGGAATGCCCTGCATGCATGAAGAATCCAGCGGCCTAGCTCAGTTGGTAAGGCACGCAAGTGGCATTCAGGAGGTCGTGGGTTCAATTCCCATTCGCCTCATGTACCTTCTTGGGCATGCTTGGCGGCCGCCACCTAGATATAGCCCGTTGGCCCCCCGATTGGGATTAAAAAGCAGTGTCTGCTCATGTTTATAGGGGAGGGGTAATCGGGGAGGCACAGCGACTGGCCACTCAGATGACGCTCGGTCCCTCTGCTACCGGCTGTCCCCTGGCCAGTGTCCTCCATTGGGGGTTCCCTGAAGGCAATCAAGGCTACCCGATGTCAGATTAGACACAATATTGAATTTACCTGGGCTGGTTAGTCCGATGATAATACCTCAAGGCCATCGCCCTCTTTTTTTTTTTTTTTTTTTTTTTAAAAGGCCTACTGGTGCAAGCATAACTTACCTGATCTCCGTACCACGTGGTGATTTTGTTTTTTTTTGTTCTCAAATCTGGAATGCTCTGCATGCATGAAAGGCCAACTGCTGCAAGCATAATAGCTACCTCTCACAATCAAGGAGGCGGGGGGGGGGATGCTAGAGAGGTAGCTATTATGCTTGCAGCAGTCAGCCTTTCATGCATGCGAGTAGTAGCAGCAGCAGGTATAGATAGTGAAATGTGAAATTGAGAGAAGACGGACTGCAGGAGAGTTCCTCCTTAGCAGTGTACCTATCCCCCTTCTATAACAGGTCGGCCTGACTGACTGACTGACGACAATTACCTCCTTTGTTTGGATGCTAGCTGCTGGTCTCTTCTGCTCTCTCGCTCCGTTTGCCATTTGTCTTTCATTTTGTGATCTTCTTCTTTTTCTTCTTCTTCTTCTTCCTTCTTCCTTCTTCTTTTTCTTCCTCTTCCTTCTTCCTTCTTCCTTCTTCTTCTTCTTCTTCTTCCCTTCTTCTTCTTCCTTCTTCCTTCTTCTTCTTCTTCTTCTTCTTTTCTTTCTTTCTTTCTTTCTTTCTTTCTTTCTCTTTCTTTCTTTCTTTCTTCTTCTTCTTCTTCTTCTTCTTCTTCTTCTATTACCTGTGGATGTGTTACTTCGGAACGTCAATAATGTGTCATGTGTGTACTCCCATACATCCCTTTCTTTCCTCTCTCGGTATGTCAGGAGTGGGTGAAGATGAAGGAAAGGAGCGGTGGCAATAGAGTGGGATAAAAAACGGGAGTGAAAAAAACATGAGATTTTAAACGGGATCATAACAATAACAGGGGTTCTCAGATCGGAGCGGTTGTTTCTACCATCTGAGGGTGTGCATACAACTAGGACCTTCTTACTTATTTCTGGACGTAATTGCGGTCAGATGCATCCACGTTCGGCCATAATGCCGTCGGATATATTTGAGATACAGCTAGTGTGAGTACTCCATGAGTTTGCCGTCGCAAGTCGATTCGAAGAAGGGGGACGTGTGTGTTGCACAAGATGAAAATGGCTCTGACCTGTTTAGCTTGTTGAGGGTTGGGCGAGCGAGCGCAGGCAGAGGGGAGGGGATAGGTTTCGTCGTTATTTGCAAAGAGGGCCCAAAGCAGACTGTGCATCAGGACATCTCCTCTGGGCAGAAGATGTGACATCCTATCCTATCTATAGGATGTCACATCTTCTGGTCAGATGAGAATGAACCCCATAAACTAACTCCCATAAACTAACCCCCATGAACTAACCCCATGATTTCTGATCTCCACAGAATTTATGGGGTTTAAACTAACCCCATGTTTATAGGGTTTAAACTAACCCCATGTTTATGGTGTTTAAACTAACCCCATGTTTATGGGGTTTAAAGTTTAAGCTAACCCCACGGCTTCTGATCTCCACAAGAAGGATGAAAGGGAAAGAGATGGAAGAGCCAGCATGGTTGTTTCTGGTTTTGACCAGGTCATGTGCATCCATCGTATCCAGTTTGGACATCGTTTTCTCGTACCTCGGTTCTCCTGCTGGGTTCATTGTCTTTTTCTCCCTCATTTGCTTCTTTTCAATGTCTTCTCCACTTCCTTCCTTTCTATCCCAACCCTAATGTCCGTTGCAAAGGGATGTCAAGGGTCGAAGGTTTCCGCCCCACGTTCATTGTTGTACTCTCTCTCTCTCTCTCTCTCTCTCTCTCTCTCTCTCTCTCTCTCTCTCTCTCTCTCTCACACACACACACACACACACACACACACACAC